GAGCCTTTATACAGTTCTTGGGCTGCGTTCAGGCATGGACCTGACCATGATTAAACTTCTGACAACTTTTTCGTGCACTTACTTACACTCACGACCCCGTATAATACGAATGAAGGATTTCGCCCGTCCAGAAGTTTATGTTTATGCCTCTCTATACTGTCGCAGCCACAAGTGAAGGTTGCCCGATGTTATAACACTGCAAACAAAATCCATATATACAAGCTTGTATATGCTTTGGAAAGATGATTTATCCAAAGCATATACAAGTTTGGAATGATGAGATATACAAAAATATACAAGTTTGTATATATGACATATACAAAAATATACAATTATGTATATATGATGTATCCAAAATTGTTTTTCTTTGTATATATCAGTAAAGGGAGATAATTGTTATGTATTCGTGTAAAATTAATTGTATATGTGCAAAATGAAGGGTTTTAAGTTGAGCACTGTATTATGTAAATGTTGGTAAAGGGGGATATTGCTATGTATTATTCTATAATTGATTTGTATGTGCAAAAAGCCGATCAAAATTATTAGCAAGTTACAAATAAAACTGATATAGTGGCGTGTAACATTACTGGAATGTTTAATTAGTACTCCTCACTGTTAGCGGGAGCCCTTTCTCTCCTTGCAATGATATTGACGGGTAAGCGATTGAGGCGTCTGGTACTTTTCCTGGCGCGGTGCTTATAAGTAATTATGACATGGTTTATATTTGTATTGTTTAGGGTGTTACAAAATGAAACATATCTATGTCTTTTGAGTGATTGAGTGATTGTTGTTTAACGCCGCACTAACAATCGTCTAGCTATTCGCGTCGATTGTTCCCAAGAATTATGGCTCACATTTAACCGTCCCGTTATTTTGCAGATTGTTCTCTACATTTGTGAAATGGCACACACCTAAATCCTTCACTTTCCCCAACATTGTTAAACATGTATGCAAACTGATCAACATGTCTTTATGATATTTGATAAGAACGGGATTTTATGGAATGTGTCAATGCTACCATACTGCTTTACTAAGACGCGTGTGCGAGCATGTGCACGTGCATTTATATTTGTGTACGCGAGGTGCTCATGTATATTTGTATATGCGAAAATCCGATCAGAGCATTCAGGACAATGGTGCTTGTGCATACAACAATACACGGTGATCATATGTCTCAAAGTTGAAGCTCCATATCAAATAAACGCCCAAAGTTAATTCATATCGGAAAACACCACATAAAGCCGGTCACAGCATACATTTCCTATTGTATTTGCGTTTGTTTCAATGGTGTAAAAAACGGCTTTTAGAAACTTGTAATGTGTTTCAAGATAGAGAGCAAACTTGTTACGATTCAAGATATGTATATATTTAATACTAATCACAAATAATCAAGTCATTGTGATCCTCACGAGTTATGCAGATTCGCGTATCATTCAGTTATGTGTTAGAAATATTACATTGACAATTATCTGGTCATCTCCGTTTTATTTAATAACAGTAACTCCAACGTATGTTTCTTGACGTCCCCTGAGGCCGTCGGGTAGCCTGGTGGCTCGTCACGCCGAAGACACGGGTTCGATTCCCGAATTGGGTATAATGTATGGAGCCCATTTCTGGTGTCCCCCGTTGTGATATTGCTGGAAAATTGCTAAAAGCGGCGTAAAACCATACTCACTCACTCACTTGACATCCCCCTACTGTGTGAAATTCGATGCTGAGTGAAAAGCTGATTTAAAGGGCATGTCATTCTTTGTACTAATACAGTTAATCTATAAATTCCAAAAAGTTATTCTCTGGTAAAGGATCCGTATCATATGGATGATACATGTTTTTTATTGCAGATACTGGGGTAATAAAAGCACAACAGAGATACTTTCCCTTGCCACTCTGCAGTACCGTCAAAAGAACCACCAAACTGAAGCGCTTGTAAATCATCCTCTCCATAGCCTGTTCCTGGTTCCTATCACAACAAAGGATGAAGATCCTAAATGTCTACAGAGATGGCAGGGGGGGGGGGGAATCATTCCGCATCTGAGGGAGAGAACATCCCGTCACTGATAAGGCCTACATATACATGTACACCAAGATGTTACATCCTTGTTTCACAGGATCCTTGTTTTGTTAGTGAGAATATATCAGAAAGAATGTTTCAAAGTCCATGTTTGTGTCAGATGGCTACAAGGAAGTTCTATTTCATCCCTGCGAGTGAGTGTTTTGACGACGCAGTCAACAACGTTCAAGCCAGATCAGGATCGAATCGTAGAAGTGTGACAGAAGTATTCCTGTTGTGGTAGTTCTCTTGCACACCTGCATTTTGTTCAACATGTTATAAGAAGATGGTCACAGAGACGGGTCCTCGCCATATCGCTCCAAAAATCCACACAATATTGCGCGACAAAGCGATAATACGAAACACAATGACAAAACAATAGAATTAGACGATGGAGCGATAGTACGACACGACAAGTTGATAGCGTGACACGACATAGGGATAGAACGACATGTTATGGTGATAACATGACAATTTATCACGATGAATTCGAAGCAATAAGGCCATAAAGCGATATGGTCACGCGATACGATGATATGGCAAAAGAACAACATGGTAATAGAGTAATATTTTGATATGACAATATGATGGTATGATAACAGACCGATATTGTGTAATTGCGGTATGACAATGTGACGACATGACAACACCTTTAACTGAAACTGAGGCTGATTGGCCAATTGCAAATGCAAGGAGCATAATATTATGGAAATGACCCAAAGTAGTGGCAGAGCGACATCATGACCCGAACCATAACAATATACATGATATATTTCATACCTTGTTGTCTTCATATACATACTTAATAATTAAATTGTCATTGTTTGAATCGTTCAAAGCGCAACAACGACCACATGCATATTGCAAAAGAAGGATAGTAACACCACATTACAATAGGATCAATGCACGTTCATGGTGGGGTGGTTTTGACTGGTAGCAACTGTTTTACCTGTGACGTCGGGCCACGTCTCACTGAAGCTCAACGGAGCAGCCTCGTAGGTCGATAGGAAACAGGAGACTTGCAGTCAGTCAGTTGTAGCCAGGATGTTGAAATGTGAGCCAAGACACCATCAATTCCTCTGGTATCGATACGAAAAGCATGGCACGTCAATTGAGTGACCAAGGTCGAGCCGTCCCCGTGTTACAATGGCTTCCAAGGCCCGCTTCATGCGGCTACGTTATTTGCAATTCTCAAATTCTCAACTGAGCCGCAAGCAGTATATACCCCAAACAGCGATGGAACATTGTTCAGCGACATTTGGGTAAGCGATTTATGCCGCACTGAGAATATGGGTAAGCTAGGGTGCACCGACATCGGCAGATCGACAGATTTGGCTTTGGCAGCAAAATAATGTAGGCAAATTTCTCTCACACAGGTAGAATATACCTAGTGCCAGGCAACTGAACGACCCAACGCTATTGTGATGAAACTCTTCAGCCGCATGTTGTTTCCATCAAGTTATCCTTCAATACGACAATGCTAGACTGCATACAACATGTGCAACTGTTGATCTTACTTCTATGAAATCAAAAGGCAGGAGAAGTATTCTCATCATTCAGGAAATAAAACATGAAAGAGAAAGAGTTTGAAAGAAAAAGAGCCCGCTCACTGTTGAGAATTTATTTTACGTTGTTCCCCATAGTACATAGTGCTTTTTGAAGAGATCTACTTGTACTTTAGGGAACCCAAAAAATGTACTTACTGCATGCTCCCAATTTGATCTTGTCACTTCCGACAACGAATCGTAAAAGAGAAATCCTGTATATAAACGGACATACATAATATTATTTTAACAGACGCGTTGTACATGAATAGCGAGTGAGTATGATTTTACGCCGCTTTTAGCAATATTCCAGCAATATCACGGCAAGGGACACCAGAAATGGGCTTCACACATTGTACCCATGTCGGGAAACGAACCCGGGTTTTCGGCGTGACGAGCGAACGCTTTAACCACTAGGCTACCAGACCGCCCCACGTGAATACGAAAGAGGGTGTCAAAATCATTATGTTTACAACCTCGATCAACTTCTATTCCCTCTTATCAAAAAAGATTCCATACATATATCTTACATAAGACACAAAAAGTGGTTGTTTTTAAAACTTTAGTTCTTTGTTCTTACATGTATGTTATGAAACAACACTATTTATCAACGATACTTATTTTGGTGTCAGATGTGGATCTATGCCACTATTTTAATTATTCGAATACTTTTTGAGGTTTGTTTTCGGTAAAAAATACAGAGTTTATGTAATTTTATAACCAGGTAAAGATGAAATATCATTTGTTTTAAAAAAAAAAGATGAATAAGTCAAACATGACGTCTGTTGTAGTCGCCCCATTGGTTTGACGTCATATCACCTTACAATAAGTGCATATTGGCTGTCAGGATAATTATAATATGACAACTACATGCTGCTTATGATACTAAGAAATGGAGGACATGAGTGCACATCAACAAATATTAAGTACATATAATTGTATATATATTATAAACGTTCTTTTATCTGAAGCACTTGTTTGAACTCCAATGCTCAATGTGTGAATGTGAATGTGTCGAAACGTAGATTGTTACAGACAGACAGACAGTTTATTATAGTCTCACCTCATTACAATGATTTATACATACTTCTAAAATACAAAAAAATATATCTCAAATACATATCATATGTAAAAGTATACAAGTATAAAATGTAACGAGCCACCCTATACAGGGTTACGAGAGACTTTTCATAAAAAGAGCATATTAAAATATAAATAAAAGGTACATAAACTACAACGCATATAAAAGTAAAACCATGAATTAAGAATAAAGGCAATCATATCTTTTAGATAAAATGTTAAAGCAGGTTTTGGCACTTAAATATATCACATCTTGGGAAGACAGGATAAAACTGGCTTTTCTCCTCCTTCTCCCCCCTAACACAACAAAACACACAACTACAACATATTGGGATACTGTACGGTGCACTGACTGACCGCAGTTTATTCTTCAACAAGTATTCACATTATCATGAACATCGTCCGCATCAGGAACATCACCAGCATCATGACCATCAACCAACCGTAATTTACATGAATATTCTATATTCGATGCTTCATATTTTCAACGTGTACATATACACAGGCATCGACGCCTTATTACGTATTCTAATGGCTCGTCAGCGCATACTCATCAGAGTATATCCCAAATCCATACTCTCACAACTGGAGTGTTCGAGATTTCAACTATGGATACCGATCCATCTCACGACGTATTATCATGGCTCGCCAGGACAACTTGCAAGCAACGCATAACATCCTGATCATCATATGGACGGCCGCAGGTACTACACACATAAATAATAAAAAATATAGATTCAACCGACGTGTACTCCAATCGGCATCATACATAACTGAACATGTTTAATATAGCCAGCCCGACTGCACCGCACCTGAGAATGAAGTTTCAACTTCCCGCCTTTACTTATATACCCATTACGAAACCAGGTTACCTCCCTTTGTTGTGCTTTCCGACGTTAGGAGAAAATAATTTCATTCTAATTCGTCCCTAAAACGAAAGAAATTATATTTCTCCTCCTTCTCCCCCCTAACACAACAAAATACACAACTACAACATATTGGGATACTGTACGGTGCACTGACTGAGGAAACAAAGAACGGGCAATTCAAAGCCCCAAAGAAAGAGACACTTTTAATCTATTTTCGATGCTGTCCTTAACATAGCCATCTTTGGCACTCTCGCTCCTCCAGCGACCATGTCGTTTAAACATTCTATCAGGGATGCCTCTATTGGCTGCCACTGTTGCTCCACCTGACCTCAAACTATGCAAACCGTAGCATTTAATGTCAGGTACGTAAGGCTTAAAGGCTTCAATAAATAATTCCCTCAACCGAGTATAAGACATCGGTTTGTTTTCGGCTCTAAATATATAGCCATCACTGGTCTTGGACAGATTTCTGAAAAGATAAGTTTCTGAATTAGTTTCTTCCTTTAATCCAGATTTTTCCAAGAAACATTCCATACACTTCACAGGACACATCTTTGTCCCTGTTCTACCAATAACCAACCAAGCTCCATCTCTGTATACATCGGTCTTGGACCTTTCTATAAACACAGTCATATGAGAATAAAAAAACAACAAATCGCCATGCTTAATATTAAGCAACTCAGCAGACCGCATAAAACCTGCGAATGCAAGCAAACACATACACACAGTTCTCAAATTATATACATTTTGGTTTTGCATTTTGCAATCAAACATCCTTTCAAGTACTTCAACCGTAATAGGCTATTTCTTTTTAACGGGTTTAACTAACTTCCGTTTGGCTGCCTCCAACAAATTTATCACCAACGTGTTGTCCGTGGGAGTGGGTAAACCAACAATAACATGAAAGTGTCGAATACTATAAAACGCTGACTGTACGGGCGAAAAAGAACCCGACCGCTGTATCACTGACAGCAAATAAAGCGCACAATGTAAGGGAGATAACGGTAACCCTACAGGCATACCGTTAGAAACAGCCCACTTTCTCCAAGCACGGAAACCATACTTGTACTTTCTGCACGTGGAAGTCGCTCTGGTATGATTAAGCAGTCCCGGTATTGCTTTTGCTAATTCCTTCACACTCGGCGGTAGCTCTGCTATCTCGTCACCAAACACGTGATCAAAAACACCTGTAACAGGAAATTCAAAACTGAACCCGAATCGCCATCATGTTAAAATTTAAATCATAAACACCAAACACACCATTGCTTTGTCTGCTTGGGACATATGCATCTTTGTAAGTAGGCAGATAAACCACTTCCTTCACCTGTGAAACAAACTCTCCCCTAGGACATAACAATGGCCAAAAAGTAGCTGAATACCAAACAGGAACTATCAACGTAGCCCTGCCTTGACACATTCTCAATTGCCGTAATGACCTAGATATCAAATATACAGGTGGCACTATCCAATTGTTGCCTTCAGACCAACTCATGGTAAATGCATCCACTCCACATGATCCAGGATTCCAATATCTGGAATCAAACCTAGCAACCTTGTTGTTATAATACGAGGCAAATACATCTATATCATATGGACCCCACATACTCTGTATGTGCTGATATACAAAATCACTGATTCCCCAATCGTCCGTGTCCACAAGCTTGCTAAGATAATCTGATCTCTCATTTTCTGACCGGGGTATCCACTGCATTTCAAACTGAATCTGACCTTGGAGACAAAGGTTAAAAATATCCATAGCAATACTTTGCAGCCCAGATTTCATAGATCCTTTAGCTACAATCGATTCAACATTTTTATTATCAGAAAACCATTTGATCCTGTGTGACTTCAGCAAAGGGAGAAAACTCTGCAGAACCATATACACTGCCTTTAATTCCCTGTGTGTAGAACTCAACGCAGCTTCTTCCACCGACCACTGCCCATGAGACTGTTCCTCACCAAACTGTACACAATACCCTCCGTAGCCGACACTACTGGCATCACTGTATACCACTCTCGTTACTATGGACTGATCACACCATATTCTCTCTGTATATTTATTTATTTCATGTAACCAAAACTCGAGTTGATGTTTGCTGTACTGTGTCAAAACAACAAACTCATTCCATGATGTTATACTTACCGTCTGCATAGACAAAGCCCTAGTCATGAGCTGAGCGACAGATCCTACAACCAAACTCATGCTTATCACCTGCCCCACGACTGAAGCCACTTTTCTAACCGGGACAATCCCGCTACCTTTCAATAACGGGATGATACTCTGATGTAACTTATCAATCCCTCGTCGATCAACCTTCCGACGAGGGATTGATAGTTTCATACACTTCGTGTCAATTATTAAGCCTAGCCATTCCATAACCTGACATGGAGCCCACAAAGATTTTTCACTTTTTGGTAGAAAACCGGACTTTATGAGATCTTGCTTGACAGCATTTCCAATAATCGTAGTATTAGCCATAGAGTCACTGGACAAAATACCATCATCAAGAAAAGTAACAATTCTATAGCCTTTGTAACGCCAATACTTTACCAACTGACGGGTCACCTTGGTGAAAACATAAGGCGCCGATGTAAGCCCGAATGGCAAAACAAGAAACTTGTAATATGTCATTTTTTGACCAGTCCCCCATGAGAAACCTAAATATTAGGTATGAAGAGGAAATATGTCAATATGGTGATAAGCCGAGTGAATATCAAACTTTACAAGCCAGTCATTTTTGTTTATGTACATCATGGCTGTCCTCCAATCTTCATATTTCACCGATTGTTGCCATACATGCTTGTTGACCCATGACAAGTCTAAGATCAGTCTCTTCTTACCTGAAGATTGGATTGACACTGACAAAGGATTAACAAATGTAGGCTTTATATCACACTGCACCACTAAACCTTTTTTGAGTAATTGAGACACAGCCTCTGATACAAACTCTTCGTGCAATCTAGCAGACTTGTTGTTGCCTAAAACCGTATTGGGTGGTGTTGAATAAAACGGAATTTTGTATCCATTTTCTATGATATCAGTGACGTAGTCTGAACTTCCGATTCGACGCCAAAAAGCAATGTTTTCTTTTAGCCTATCCTTCACAATGATTTCTGCATGGCCCTGTTCATATTCAAAATAATCATCAGTCAGTAACACATGATTATCACTATGACCTACGTCATACTTAACTTGTGAGTCAGTTTCTTTATTAATGGGCAGATCCTCCTCCTCGTCCTGTAGTCTGAGCGGGTTGTTGTTCTCCGGACATCGGACATTGACGTCTGAAATGGCCAAATCCCCCACATGAGAAGCACGCTCCACTTGATGAGTTCCTCCGAAAGGGCTGATTGAACATGGAGAAGCTGTTGACTGCCGCTGGCTCTGCAGAAGAGACAGTAGCACTAGGAGCACGACCACCACGTGGTCTATAGTGCGGACTGCGTGCAGAACGCCCCATCTTGGACTTGATTTTCTTGACAGCTTTATTTTCTGCTCTTGTAATTTTCTTGTCGTCTTCGGAGTCGGACGCCACATCTCGTGCAACATAATTTTTTACAGTCGCCCATCCACCTTCCGACGTATCGGCAATCTTAATAAGTTTGTTTCTCTGCTCGATCCGAGTTTTTTCCGTCTCAACAAGCTCCGTAGTGGAATTTCTTAAATTCTAAGGCAAACTTTAACTGATTTAAATTGTCCAAAGTTTCAGTATTGAATGAGTGTTGTATTCTACAACCTTCTCGTTTCCACACAAATTCCTTATCAGCTTTCAACTTGGATATCTCTTTTGTCGTTTTCTCAAATTCTTCACGAAAACCAAGTAAACGATCTTCAACTGATTGCGCTATTTCGGCTTTTGATCTTTCCAATTGGCGAAGAATCTCATCTAACTTCTCCTATATGGGCTTGTCAGCGTCCATGATTAATATAGCCAGCCCGACTGCACCGCACCTGAGAATGAAGTTTCAACTTCCCGCCTTTACTTATATACCCATTACGAAACCAGGTTACCTCCCTTTGTTGTGCTTTCCGACGTTAGGAGAAAATAATTTCATTCTAATTCGTCCCTCAAACGAAAGAAATTATATTTCTCGGATCATCGAAATCCTTGAAATCGTCTTCGACATCGCAACATTTTCTTAACAGTTCTGCTCTTTCGGTTTCATAGTTAGGACATCTTAGTAATACGTGTTCTTCGTCTTCTATACCATCCGCACAAAATGAACATATTCTTCCATCTAGGGGCGTGTTTGTGTAGCGTCCAGTCTCTACTTTGAGGGGCGCCACCCCACTCCTGAACTTGGCTAAAGCCGACCTGTATCTCCTCAGCATAGGGGTTCGAACATTATACTACGTTTCGTAACCTTCCTTGAAACTGTTGTATCTTCTTAGCTTATTTCCGCCGATTCCTCTCTTTCCTTCCTGTTGTGAGACCTCGTTCCTCCAATTTTCTTTAAATTGCTGCATAGTCTTATCTTGGATGGTATTCACAATGTACTGACTTCCATATACTTTGTCCAGTGGTATTATGTGAGTTAGGCTTGATTCCTGTAACTTCTTGTGTAGTCGGAAGGTCCAGTTGGATTTTCGTCGTATTGCCCATTGATGACTCCACTTGAATATCTTGTAGTTGAGACGCTGATGGTCCATTCTCCTATGGCGCATGTATAGTCGGGTGACTGACCCCAACTGTCGCACTGTGGTCGGGTCCCAGCCCATGTCTCCGGAAACAGTGTTGTTTGGCGCAAATTTTCTCAATCCTAGGAAGTATCTCATGGCTCGGTTCTGGACAGCTTCTATGCATGACATGTTGTATGTACCCCAAATTCAGCTCCGTATTCAATCACCGACCACATCATTGAGTCATAGAGTTTCGTAAAAGTCCCAAACTCCATGCCACCTAAAAGCTTGAATTTCGCTATTAAAAGCCCTAGCGCTCTGCTAGCCGAACTTGCTGATGCCTTAGCCATTATCTTGTAATCTAAGTGCTCTGTGAGTAGTATTCCAAGATATGTATATTTCTCCGTTATTTCCATATATTCATCTCCACACTTAAAAACCTCGGTTGTTCTTTTCACTCTTGCACCACGGAAATGAATAACTTTAGATTTGGAATAGTTCACAGACATATCGTTCTTCAAACACCAACTGTTATGGCAATTCAACAACATGTTTAGCTCACGTTCAGATTCGGCCAGTAGTACTTTGTCATCAGCATAGGCTAAAATACCTACTTTACATTCTCCAGTAGATACACCAATGTCCATATTATTAATTAAAGGTCATTTATGTACAAATTAAACAATATAGGTGAGAGTAGGCAACCTTGTTTTAATCCACTGTCTACGTTGAACCAAGGGTTGTGTCTCTCATTTAGCCGAACACAACACTTTACTTCTTTGTAGAGCGCCGATATTGCTCCGAACATCTTGCCTTTGATATCAAGTTCCCGGAGTTTCTCCCATAGAATTCCTCTGTTGATAAAATCGTATGCTTTGCGGAAATCTATAAAAGCTGCGTATGTAGACTTGCCCATCGCTTTTCGGGTTTCAATTATAGAGGTAATAGAAGTGACGATGTCAATCGTTGATCTTCCCTTCCGGAAACCGTTCTGGTTGTCTTCTATTATAGAGTGAGATTCTGCAAAACTAGAGAGTCTATTATTTAAAATACTACAATAAAGCTTGTAGCTTGCACTAGTTAGAGTCAGTCCTCTGTAGGAGAGAGGATCTCTCCTGTCCTCTGTCGACGGCTTCGGTATCGGGTTTATCACAGCCTTTGTCCACTCAGACGGTATGCAGCCTTTCTCAAAACAAATATTAAACAGATTATACATGTATCTCGCCCACTTCGCATTCTTTAATACTTCCATTGGTATATTATCTAAACCTGGCGCTTCACCCTGTTTAGCCTTCACAATTGCGGATTTTATTTCGTCATGAGAAATAGGGTCACTTATGCTGTCTTCTTCGTCAGTTGTAGAATATGTTACACCTCCCTGAGAGATATTTCCATTGCAGTTGAGGATGTCCGAGTATGCCTTGTACCAGGTGTCCATGACCTTGTCCATATCTTTACTCACGGACCTGTCTTCTAGTTTCACCTCCATCGGAATCGTTTTCCCCCTTTCATTACCAATTCCTACCTGCCTGATTTTCCTCCAAAACTCTCCAGGGTCTGATTTACACAGTTCCTCCATATCTTGAAGTGTTTTCTTAACATGCACACGTTTAGCGCGTTTGCATTCTTTATCGAAAGTTGTTCTTCTTGCAACGTATATACTCTTTAGCTGTTGTTTCGTGGGACCATTAGATTTGCACCATAACCTTTCTGCTTCACAAAGGTTTTACCAAAGATCAGCCAACTCCAAGTTCCACCACTGTTTCTTGTATTTACATTCCTTCCTCACCGAGTAATGCACAACTTTTCTCGACGGAAGATGTTCTTTCATCTCACATAACACAACCTTGTCGAACGATTCGAAAGCCTTATTGATAGAAGTTTGTTTTTTTATTGAACTATCCAAATCCTTAATAACTTGATCTAGTTTCTGACCTGACTCCATTGAGGTAAAGAAGTGCTCCGGAATTTTTGAACAGTCAAATTTCACAGACGTAACTGGAATAACATCATCTTTGGTGACACTCGAGTGCGTTGTACCTACTTCTAGTTTCATAGTCCACTTCAACATAGAGTGAGCCAGCTTGAGAATATATGTAGGGTCTATAGATCCTGTGCAGCCTCCTGATGTAGCTTAAACATTTGGTCTAACCACTTCAAAATCTGTGAAGTGTTTCAAAGATTCATATGCAGTCACGCAGTAATCAACCACAGAAGTGCCCCTATTTGATACATATGTGTAATCAATCCTTTTACAATCTCTACCATTAACAATACAATAATTGGCATTAATCAAAAAGTCAATAAAAGCACGACCATGAGCATTAATAACATCATTAACAACATGTCTATCACTGATTGTATCAATACCTTCAACAAAGTCAATCAGGTTTCCACATCGGCTATTAAAATCGCCACATAAAAATGTTGTGCCTTGAGTGTAATAGGTATGCACATTTAATAACAGGGTTTTTATAAAACTCCAAAGGGTCAATGTTTCTTATTGAGTTTTCTGGAGGCAGGTAGCACACACATGCAGTCAACGCAGTTTCACTGTTATGTTTACCCACCAATCTCAACCATAAAATGCCTTCATATGAATTGTCTAAAATATTCACATTATATTTTTCACATATTTGGTCTTTTATTAAAAATCCAACACCGCCCGATCCTCGTTTTGCAGTAACCTTCAACTATAATAGTTTTGTTATCTACCAGATGGGTTTCCGCAATATCAACTATATCCAGGTTATTTTCAATAACCCATGTAGATCTCAATCGATGATTCTCGGAGAGTAAGTCAGTATTCCACCCTCCAACATTCCAAAACCCACAGAATACCTATGTGTACCTCTGCTTATTGCGCGTGTCCCTGCTGGTGTCAGCCCGGGTCGGTGATCGCTCATTGGTCGAAGGGCGTTGGTCACGTGATCTTTGTTGATCAACATTACCACGTACGTACACGCCTCTCCGGACATCGCTGTTGTTGTTGTTGTTCTCTGTCCTCGCCTGGTCTCCGTCCCGGGGGGACCGCGGGTATATATCCTCGTCTTCTTCCCGGCTCCAGTGACCAGATGTCCTGCCCCCTCTACCCGCTCTGTACAGCTTCAGACCAGACACGCTTAGCTTGCCTCCCCCAACTGTCTCGGCGAGCACCCTCATGCTTGATTCTATGATACGTTGTTGTACTGGCTTGTCTGATGTTATGTACACATTATTAAAGTTTCTACTGTTCTTTAGTCTCTTCTTTTCCTCGAGGATCTTATCCTTGTCCCCTGCAGATCGACACTTAGCCACTATCACCCCCGGGTACTTGGAGTGACGAGACACTTTCTCACAGCTTGAATAACTCTAATGTCCTTTAAATTCAAACCTTCCCGAAGCACACTATTGGCTTTGTTCATCACATTTTTTGTATCTGTTTCGGGTACATTTTGTATAATAATGCTCAGTCTATCGGTACCTGATTTCACAGCATCTGAGTATGTTCGTTTCAATTCATCTATGTCCGATTTCATTCCCGTCGTGTTCACCAAGT